ATATCACCCTTCTACTAAATAGGACTTGCTAAGTCATAATACATAAAATAAACAATGTGTGATATATTAAACCCTGTGCATGGCTCTGCCAAAATTAACATCGCTGATATTAATATTTAAATGTAAGTTCATTTTTTTTCAAAAAAGTTAGTGTCTTCCAGACACATGACTCTTCTTTACCTTGTATAACTTCAAATTAAGGAGAGACTTAGTAACTTCAAGGTTATTGTCTAATATGTGACTGACAACTCAGGTCATTTTTTTAATGGTATCTCCCTTTGACAATGTTGCAAATTAATGCTGAAATAAATGTTTTAGAAATAGTTTATAGAATCTAAATGATACCATGATATTGAATATTTAAGAAAAGTGGCTATTTTCTTCAACAAAAGAACTTTTTAATGGAATGAAAGTAATTTATTATAGTACCCATTATATTTTTTAATTTTTATTTATTTATTTTTAGACAGAGGGGAAGGGAGGGAGAAAAAAGGGGAGAGAAACATCAATGTGTGGTTGTCTCTCACATGGCCCCTACCAGGGACCTGGCCCACAACCCAGGCATGTGCCCTGACTGGGAATCGAACAAGCAACCCTTTGGTTCGCAGGCCGGCACTCAGTCCACTGAGCCACACCAGTCAGGGCTAAATACTTTTTCTTACCATTTTCTTTCTAAAATACTCATATCTCTGGGTCTTATCCATTTGAAACTGTGCTCCTGCATTTCTCCGGGCAAAAAATGCATCAGTAAAGGTCAGAACAAAATTAAAAAGAAATAAGGGTGGTTCTTGATCAGTCTGGCAGTGGTAAAGCTCAGAAATAATTTTTTTGCCTTTTTCTCCTTCTACAGAAGAAACAGCTTTTATTTCATCAGTTTTAAAATCCAGTCTCTTTGGAACTATTTTTAGTTCTTCCTGGCACTCTATGCATTTTCTGGGCAGTGGTACCAGATTTATGGCTCTGTTATTTATTACCTTCCAGTAAGCAACAAACTGATGCCTTGCACACGCACATGTCAACAATATTACAGCATGGCAAGATGGGTCGGTTCATTCTTTCCCAGAACAATAAGCAAAGATACTGCTTTTAATTTGGCCATGCATATGTTTTATTCATATGCAACAGCAACTTTCCTTCTTTGGTTTTACAAATCCCTACCCCCAAAAATTAAAGTCTCAGATGAGCTTAACATTTTGCTTATTTCAGCAGTTTTTGTCCTGGGTTTGCAAACTCAAAGCTTATTTCAGAAGTGTGGAAGAAATATCATTCACCAATGAAATTAAGCCCTTTGCATTCAATGAGGTTATTAAAAAGTGCATAAATTTCTCTTAATCTGAACTGCAGTTGGCAATTTTGTGTACTTAATAGCAATGTCTTTTAAGATGTCTCGGGAAAGGATAAAACAATAAAAGATAAAATAAAACAAAACACCAAAGCCAACATTGCAGCATGTTTCTATTCCTACACAGACTGAGAACTAAAACCCTTTCTCCTTTTGTGTTTTGGAATAGGAACTATCCTTTTTAATTCCGACACTTTTCATCTAAGAGATGCTCATTGAATGCATTTGCTGTATATGTAGAGACTATAAATGTGAAAAAAACTTGATGGTGTGTTACAGCGTAGTTCCCATGCATCAGAGTATGAAGGATTCGTGAATTAATTTACCCAGTCGCACACACACAGGAGTGATACCCAGGCCACTCAGCAGAGGATGACGGTACGGGAGAGCTATCTGAGGATTTTCTTAGGTCAAGCTTGTCTTTCTAAACAAGGGGCAGTCACGTTAAGTCGATTTGGAATTGAGGGTACTGCCAGTCAATGAGCAGTGCCTAGGGCATGTCTATGCTAAGTGAGCAAGGTGATGAATTAAGGAAAAATGTCAGTACACCTTAATTTCCTCTTTCCAGCTTCTTCTGTGTCCTCATGTCATGGTGTAAGCTATGGGAAAGGGCTTCAGTTTGTTTTATTGCATGTGTGGACATGAGTGTCGGATGGGCTAATTGCTGTGGACTACTCATTCAGTAAAAAAGGTAGTTAGCTCCTGTGGCCACTAACTACACTTTGGCATCAAAGTTCGATATCTAATCAAACTTTATGGAAAATTATTTCTCTCTTACATGTGGGCAGTTCCTCCACAAATTTGTTGGACAATGTGAATTTTTCAGTATGTCAACCAGCACTTACCTGACTGAACAGAATTGTTTATTCAGTTAAAAATGTGTTTATTGGGGTGGTTGGTTCCCCACCCATTGCTTGTGAAGGAGCACCCTTCTGTGAGCCTTGTGAGCCCTCCTGTGGGCTGATGGAAGACACAGAACTGCCCATCACACAGGGCCACAGATGGTGGGGATTTTAGAGCATCCTGGGCATTTGTCCTGAGGGAAGCAGGACCTGGGGCTCTGCACTGGGTGCCTCTTGTGTTTCCTCTTCTCCTCTTCTGGAGAGAAATGTCAAGAGCCTTAGCCAGAGGCCTACTGGAATCAGGAGGTTGTCACCACTGCAAATGATAAACTTAGCTTTTTGTTAAACAAGAATATGACATCTTAGAAAAATACAGTTTAGTAGAGCATTGTGTAATCATGGAGCCAGTACCAACATGTAGCTGTGAGAAATTTAAATGTGGCTAGTGAGACCCAGGAACTGTTTTTAGATTTTAGCTAATTTTAGTCAGTTAAAATTTAAATTTAAATACTTGTAGCTAATTGCTATTGCATTGCACAGAAGACTCATAGAAAACACAAGAGCTACAGGCACATTATCCATGATCTGACTAGTATATCTTAATACCACCATGAAAATGTAAAAAAAAAATCAATTTTTTAACATTACTGCCATTTCACAGAAAATAAGTAAAAGGCAGTAAATATACTGTTCTTGGATTTTTCAACTGACATAAACTTGCCTTCATTTGCTGGGGAAACCAAAGGCAAATTCAAAATTCAGGCAAATGTTCAAGACTGAAAAATTCGGACAACTGTGATAGAATAAATAAGAATTAAAAACAAGACTGAAATCTAAATATACCAAAACAAAACACACAAACATAAATACATAAAATTAAAACATGAAACAAGATGTGGTATAGTCATAATTTATACAACTGGGTTTAAAAATCCAGAACTTAAAAGAATTTTCTTATTGTCTTTATACTATATTATATCTGCTAGTTTCCCCTTATATAACCTCTGAAAATACTTCATAATCTCCCTTTATAGCTCTTATTAAAAATGTAATTATTCTCTTACTATAAATGGGTTAATATCAATGTCATTATTAAGTACTTAGATTGGTATTGATTTCCTCTCAGCTGGGATTTCATTTCCATCCCATGACTAACATGTGTCTGTACCGCACCATACCCCAGTGTCTAGAAATATGCTGTGACCATTAGCCACTCAATATTGGCATGCCAAGAAGGAACCTGGATTTTTCTGGTGTAATTTATGAACTATTTTTGTACCCATAAATGAGATATTCTAGATTTATATCTTCTAAAAGCACTCTGAAATATCATTATAAGAGTAACATTATCATTAATCGCAAGTTTATTTATGTCAAATTATAATAGTAAATACTGTCTTTATATTTAATATATTTGTTACAAAATTCTTTAAAACTACACAGCTGAAGGATAGGTTGCAGTTTGCTGGTTTTCACACTTGTCAGTAGATATGACATAGCACACATTTCCATTGCTATATACTTTATTTAAAAAAGATAGTTTTTATTGGCTTATGGAAATAAAATATTAAAAGATGTTCATTTTAGCTGTGTAGAATAAAAACAAGATAACAAATACACATGGGTTATTTCATATGATCTCACTTTAGTCAGCTAGCGAGATCATTGTTTATCTGCACATGCCTTGTCTTACTGCAGTTCAGAGAGGGTACTTTTTAGATTTTTTATTTTATTTTGACAGATTGGACATTCTCAACGTTAAGATATTTGAATATTTAAAAGGCTTGTGAAGAATATGAGACCCTCTGTGTACTGATGAGCAGTAGCACTTAAGAGAGTCCATGTTGATGAAGTATTTTATGATTTTATAATGATTGAACCTCCTTGGATAGTTCAACCGCCAGAGACATTTCTGTAGAGATTCCCATAATTACAGCACATAGGTATTGTGGACATTTTGGCATGTGGCTTCAATGCATTCTGCTTACTCATTTAAAAAAAACTGAAATGACATGTTTAATCTTCAAGAAAATTTCATTTTACACAACCGTTCTTATAGAAAAAAGAGGAAAATCTTTGTATTTTACATGAGGCTATAGTCTTATCAGAGTTTCGTTTTCTCACTTCAGCAAAAGTTTTATTAGATTTTATTATATTGATTAGATGCAATATATGTACTACTATCTTGGACCAATATTTTACACCTGAGTGTTACTTTGGGGGGTGAAAGGCATCCTATGCAACTGAAATCTATAGTAAAATATTTAATTCATGTGAAAGTAACCATGGTTAATTCCCTTATAACTTCATGCACCGTGTGAAACTTAGTGACAATTCTTTTTAAAAAATTTTATTGTTGTTCAAGTACCATTGTCTCGATTATACCCCTACCACACCCCCTGCCTCACCCCTCCCTTCCACCCTCGAACCTACCTCCTTTGGCTTTGTCCATGTGTCCTTTATACATGTTCCTTGACCGCCCTTCTCCTATTTCCCCCCATTATTCCTTTCTACAAACTTCTTTTTGAAATCTTTAATAGTTTACACAAGTGACTTACATTCATTATCATAAAATGGTACAACCTGAAAAGCTCTCAGAACATTTTCTAGCAAAACTCTTAGTTTTAGCAATGCCTAGAGATATGAAACGACTTGCTTGTGGTCATGATATCGCATTGGAGCTGAGATGGGACTTAGAAGTCAAATCTTCTGACCTCTCTTTCTGGGCTAATCCTCTTTCGTGTGGATTAGAGAAATTGAAAACTGGTCTCCTTACATAGTAATGTAACTTCAGTATTCCATGCTGTATTTTTCAGGGTCGGAGTGTTTTTGGGCTTGGTGTTGGCGTAGCACCTGATGGACAGAAGGTTCCACAACTGGTTGTTCTAAAGCAGTTAGATAGGGAAGAGAAGGATGTGTATATAATGAAACTGAAAGTCGAAGATGGTGGCACTCCTCAAAGATCCAGTACTGCCATTTTGCAAATTAAAATTCTTGATGTAAATGATAACCATCCAGTGTTCTCACAAGATGAGATTGAAGTCAATATACCAGAAAACGCTCCTGTGGGTACTTCAGTGGTGCAGCTCCATGCCACAGATGCCGACATCGGGGAAAATGCTGTAATTCACTTCTATTTCAGCAACCTCCTTCCCAGTCAGGCCAAGAGGCTGTTTGACCTCAACAGCGAGACTGGACTTATCACAATCAAACAGCCACTGGATAGGGAGGAGTCACCAAACCACAAATTACTGGTTTGGGCAGGTGATGGTGGGTTGTCCCCCGCAAGAGCACTGGTGCGAGTCAATGTGATAGACGTCAACGATAACGCCCCATCGATCGATATACGATACATCATCAACCCGGTCAATGGCACTGTGGTTCTTTCAGAGAACGCTCCAGTCTACACCAAAATTGCTCTAATAACTGTGACAGATAAGGATGCTGGCAATAATGGCAGGGTGATATGCTTCATGGATCAGAATCTCCCTTTCCGATTACGGCCAGTATTCACTAACCAGTTCCTCCTGGAGACAAATGGATTTCTCGACTTTGAGTCCACAAAAGAGTATGCCATTAAACTAATGGCCACAGATGCCGGTCAACCTCCTCTGAATCAGTCATCCATGCTCCTTATCAAAGTCAAAGACGAAAATGACAATGCTCCAGTGTTTACCCAGCGTGTCATAACTACTTCCATTCCTGAGAATAACTCTCCTGGCTCCCAGGTGACAAAAGTAACTGCGACAGATGCCGACACCGGGCGTAATGGTGAAATCAGTTACGTGCTAGGTGCTGATGCTCCGCCTGAATTCGACCTGGACTATCGTACGGGCATGCTGACCGCAGTGACAAAACTGGATAGAGAAAAGCAGGAAAAATACTACCTCACGGTTCTGGCAAAAGATAATGGGATTCCACCCTTAATAACTAATGCCACAGTGATAGTGAGAGTTCTGGATCAAAATGACAACATGCCAGTTTTCTCTCATGATGAGTACAATTTCTATGTCCCAGAAAACCTTTCTAGACATGGCACAGTAGGACTAATCAATGTATCTGACCTCGATGATGGTGAAAATTCTGTGGTCACTCTGTCCATTGTAGGTGTGAATGACGAGTTCACCATTGACCCACACACCGGTGTCATTCGACCAAATGTTTCCTTTGATAGAGAAAAACAAGAATCTTATACTTTCTATATAAAGGCTCAGGATGGCGGCAGGGTACCACAGTCTGCAACTGCCAAAGTGACCATAAATGTAGTCGATATCAATGACAATGTACCAGTGTTTGTGGCCCCTTCTTCCAACTACTCCTTTCAGCTGGTCTTACCATCCACGGATCCAGGCACAGTGGTCTTCCCAGTCCGTGCTATTGACAATGACACAGGCATTAATGCTCAGCTTCTTTACACCATCATTGAAGGAAACACAAGAGGCCTGTTCGTAATTAATGAAACGACTGGCGACATCATGATGAAGAACAAATTCGTGCGCACAGACCGCGGTTTACACAGACTGGTAGTCAAAGTGAATGACTTAGGGCAACCCGATGCCCTCTCCAACGTTGTCGTGGTCAATCTGTTTGTGAATGAGTCAGTGACTAATGCCACACTGATTCACGAACTGGTGCGCAAGAAGGCTGAAACACCAGTTGTCCCCAATATTGAGATAGCCGATGCCTCCTCCCCATCCGAAGACTATGTCAAGATTGTGATCGCCACTGCAGTTGCCAGCACAGCTGTTGCCCTCGTTATTGTAATCATTGTCATAGTGCGATGCTACCAGCCAGCACACCTCAAGGCTGCTCAGAAAAACAAGCAGAATTCTGAATGGGTTACGCCAAACCCAGAAAATAGACAGATGATAATGATGAAGAAGAAGAAGAAGCAGAAGAAGAAGAAGAAGAAGCAGCCTCATCCCCCTAAGAACTTGCTGCTTCACTTTGTCAACATTGAGGAAACTAAGTCAGATGATGCTGACGACGATGGACTCAGCGCCACCCTAGACCTTCCCGCTGAGCTGGAAGAGGAAACCATGCGCAAGTACGACTGGAGCACCATGCCCACTACATTCAAGCCCGACAGCCCTGACCTAGCCCGGCATTATAAATCCACCTCACCGCAGCCGGCCTTCCAGATCCAGCCAGAAACGCCCCTGAGCTCCAAGCACCACTTCATCCAGGAGCTGCCTCTTGACAACACCTTCGTGGCTTACGATTCCATCTCCAAGTGCTCCTCCAGCAGCTCTGACCCCTACAGCGTGTCCGAGTGCAGCTTTCCGCTGTCGACCTTCAAGGACGTCGTGTCTGCGCATGCCAGACCAGTAAGTATTCCCGGTTTCTAACTGGGCTTCTCAACTTTATTTCTTTTCTTTTTAAAAATTTATTTATTGGGTTACTTATTTTCAGAGAGAGGGAAGGGAAGGAGAAAGAGAAGGAGAGAAACATCAATGGGTGTTTGCCTCTAGAATGCCCCCTAGGCTTGCAACCTAAGCACTTACCCTCACTGGGACTCAAACAGGCGACCCTTTGGTTCGCAGACCTTCACTCGGTCCACTGAGCCACACCAGCCAGGGTGAAGCTTTATTTCTTTATATTATTTTAAGTGAAAATAGAACCTCATACAATCTTTTAACTCAAGAAGGGATCAAATGATCAGACTCTGCAGAAGTATTTGAATAGATACAGTGAGTGATTCATTGTAAGTTGGGGAGATTATGAGAACAAATAACTCTTGACTGTAGGAAAATTTAGTCAGAACCATGATTATAATAGAGCCAAGATTCTATGAAGATGGCGGTATGACATATTGTGCTAAAGAATACACTGGAAACATCCAGGCCCACACAATGCATGCAGCGTATCATTTTCAGATTAGGTACTCACTCTTAGTCTGGTTCCTAAAACCTACATTCACACAGTGTAATAACAATGGGATTGGAAAAATGAAGTTTCCTTGCTCCCTGGCATTTTCAAGCCAGAGAAGTAAATACATTTAAAATCTCTATTTTAGATATTCAGGTAAGTATTTGCATATTTAGGAAAGGTGTTGAGAGGCCTTCAGGATACATTCTTGACACATAATGACTTGTGGAAAATGAAATATGCTTGCTTTCTCTAATGGGCCTCAGGGAAAATAGGGGCACAAGAATACCCAAGAAATCTGTGTAAAATAATTGAGAATCCAAAATAAATATGAGAAGAGTTTATATGGTATTCTTTATATGTATCACAGGGACAAGAGAAATGAATAAAATAGGTCTGGGAATGTATAAGTACATTAAATGATTTAAATGTAGTTATTTCCTTAATAAAGGCAAGGGATGGAATTTATCTACTTGTTTTTCTCAAAAACATGTGTTATTGTTGTCTGTCTTACTCTTGACCTATCACTGTCAGCGGTGGAGAGCTTTTGAACCATCCAAGGATATACATCATTTAATTACACAATAACATTAATTTTTCTCTCTTAGGCACACAGCAAAGGTAAGATACTACTTAAGATGCGGCTGCTTGTCTGTAACTCTAGGTCCATAGTTTGGTTGTTAAAGATGATGAAATAGAGCCCTTAGTTTCTTTGAAGACTATCGGTAGAAATGTAGAGTGCCACATTTTCCTACTGATTTTCCTACTGGGATGGATCTTCAGTGGGTGACAAATACAAGACATACCTGACATCTCCTCAGGGTGTGTTTCCATTTATATTTAACCTTTCAAAACAGTGCTCCTATTGTCTGATTTTTGTTGCTGTCATTCTGTTGACTGGAAACATTTCTCGACAGGAAAATATCCTCTATGGATAACACTTTATGTGTGTTGTAATAGCACTTTTCCCCTGACTAAATGTGTGACTCCCTTAAAAATGGTTACAGAAGGGGATGTTTGTGAATTACATTTGAATGTCACCATTTTTCATAGATTGGCTCTTGAGATGTATTAAAAGAGTAGATTGTGGTTTCACTTGTTCTGGGAGGCATGGAGACATTCTATGAGGTACATTATTAATTTTACTTGAGTATAACGCAGTAAGCAAGGTATGGAAAAAAGGGAAAAAATTGAAGTCTTTGCCAAATATCCTTTAATTTTTTTATTTATTTTTAAAGTTATTTTAAAGGTTTTATTTATTTATTTATTTATTTATTTATTTATTTATTTATTTATTTATATGTAGAGAGAGGGCAAGGGAGAGAGAAAGAGAGGGAGAGAAACATCAGTGTGTGGTTGCCTCGAGCACTTCCTACTGGGGCCCTGGCTTGCAACCCAGGCACATGCCCTGACTAGGAATTGAACCGGTGACCCTTTGGTTCTCAGGCCATTGTTCAATCCACTGAGCTACACCAGCCAAGGCTCCAAATATCCTCTTTTTATTTTTATTTTTCATATGCTGTAATATTTTAAAAGGCAATAAAATTAATAACTTTTTCCACAATGGCATTTTATTTTATTGAGCTAAGAGATTTTTTTCTAAACACAGGGCAGATAACTTCATGAGATAGGCAAATATGTAAAGTAAATGTTAATGAGAATGTATTTTTTGTTATCATTAAGTTTTTAGTAGCTAAAAGGACTATCTTAGAATCAGTGAGTTGTCAGATGACTTATTCTATGTTTCACATCTTAAGACTATAGGTAAAATTTATATTTTTATGTCTTTGGTTCAAAGTTGTTTCACATTAATGACTATTTTCTGCACATGAATTGGAGAACTTAGGCAGATTAATATGATACTAAAAATAATATGATGCCTTGTATTTGGTACTACATTTACAAAGTTCTTCATCTTATCTATGTAGTCTTTAATTTGTTATTAATGCCTGAAGAGGCTTCTTATATTCACTGATGTTGCAGAATGCTCACAAGATAAGTGAGCACTGAAAAAGTACTAGTGTGTTTAAAAATTCAAATACAGTAGATATCTTCTTTTTAAAGAAATGTCATACAAAACAGGAGAAAATATCAGCCAATAAAATAAAAATTTATTGTTCCTTAATGACATTTTGACAGTGGAATAAAATATTACTGTTAGCGGTTGATTTTAAACTAAGTAAGAAATGTCTTTTCAAAAGCACCATTTAGGATTATATTTACATTTAGTTCAGGACTTATATGAAAGTAAAATTAAAGAAATAAAGGGTTGTATTAGTCTCTAAGATATAAGGGGATTTGTCAGAAATGTCATGTTTTAAAAAGGAAGTCAAATATTTTCTGTAATTTTTATGACACTGGTATTCAGAGAAAATGTGGAACATTTATGAGATAGAAATGCCTCTATTGCATAAAGCCATTTATACCTGGAGGTATGATGCTCCCCTTTGGTACAAATGTTTAGAAGTATTCCAGAAGGCCCTTTATCTATAATGCAGTGGAAATAAGAAACATGAAATTTAAAGATGACTCTACAGTTTGCCTTCAACTAACAAGCTTCAGAGTAAGCAGACACCTTTTGGTTGGTATGACTCTTTTTTTTTTAAGTTAAGCATTTTATTTATTTATTTATTTATTTATTTATTTATTTATTTATTTATTTATCTATTTCTTTATTTTACTGTTAGAGGGGAAGAGAGGGAGAGAAACATCACTGTGTGGTTGCCTCACACACCCCCTACTGGAGACCTGGCCTGCAACCCAGGCATGTGCCCTGACTGGGAATCGAATGGGCAACCCTTTGGTTCGAAGGCCAGCAGTCAATCCACTGAGCCACACCAGCCAGAGCTGGTTGGTAGGACTCTTAGAATCAGTTTTGATCATTGTTTTATAAAAGAGGTACACTTCCCAAACCAAATCTTGCTTACTGCAGAGCTCCCATTAAAATACTATGAATACGGGAGCACGGGGCGGGGTGGGCTGGGATGGGGGAAATAGAAAACTGTACTTGAAAAATAAGTAAATAAAAATTAAAAATACTATGAATACTATACACTTGTAAAATACAAGTGAATAAAAAATTAAACTCGAATTTTTGAGGGCCTTCTATGTACCATACCAGTAACTATCTTAGACATGTACTTGAGGAACTTCATTTCAAAAAAAGAAAAAGAAAAAAGAGAATACTAACAAATTTATGTGGTTGGAGTCAGAGTAGTCTTGCAGTTTCAGAAATGTGGTAAAAAGAATGGCGGAAGGTTTGGGTGGCTATGAAACAATTCGTGGATGTAACCTTGCCTGTGGATATTACTTGTGGGTTTCAGATTATAACGGGAGGCTGAGTTAGCTTGGAAGATAATTAGTGTCCACTACTGTTCAATCCAGCGAGTTGGATTTTGCGCATCTGTGTTTACCAAGCATGTGATCTTGGTAACATGTTATTTTCCTTGTTCTAGACTGATTCCAGGACATCAGCTATTGAAATCTGCAGGGAGTTATAACTTCCTAGGAACAACAGAATTTCATTCCCCTTCCAAAAACTTCTAATGATTTTCGATGTCAAAATTTGGTTAAGATCATTAATTTTGTCATTTGGATTCTCAATCAGAAAGGCCAGTGAAGCAAAAAACACCTTTAAGATGATGCCCCATTGAACCTTACGCTTACAATAGCTGTAATCCAGCAATCAAAATTTTACAATTTGGGGAAGAAACAGTGCAGTATAATGAGTTTTATCATGCTTTGCTCCCTTGGCTTGCTCTGAATGTCCACAGCTGTGATGCGATGCATTGCTGTGTTGGGTGATGTGCAAACTGGCAGTTAATGTATCAATCATGAAACATGGAATTATTGTCCTGTCTCATTGCTGAAGAGTTTAAACATTGTCTCGGGGAGTTTGGAAGTGAAACTGAACTATTCAAGCTATTTTCTGAGAGGCCAGGGCAGAAGTTTCATTAGGACCAAAAATAAACAATGGCAACAACAAAAAACACTAAAGTTAATTTTTTGGAAATATTTATTAATATAGTATTGCTGAGAAAATTATGATTACTCATCACTGTGCTTAAAAGTTAGCTGATTATATATAATCTACTGGGTTTTTGATGCTGATTATAATCATGCTCCATGCTTTAATCATTAAAAATCAGTTTTCTAATCATGCTTTCTTTTTCTATAAATACTGGACAATTTTTAAAAATTTATCTGTCATGAGAGAACATAAAGTTATTTATACTCCAGTGTATTTTGAAAAAACATACTGATATTTCTTGTGTAATGAAACATAACTGCAGTCATATAACAGTAGAAAGAAGGGTTTAGATACTACATTTAAAAAAATTTTATCAATTTTGAAACTACCTAGAAAATATATAAGGTACTAGAGTTATATCTACAGAGAGCTATTTAATTTATTTGGCATTAAATTACTCAAAATATTTCATTGCTTTCAGTAATTTGC